GGTCGTCGTCCGTAGAGGGGAGTTTGAAAGTGTGTTAAGCTGTCGCGCCCCTCCGAGCAGTGCCCGAGAGGAATAGTCGCGGATGGGCGCGGATAGCAGGCGGGCAGCCCGCATCGATGACTTCGTGCAGGACATCATAAGCTGTGGGAATTAGGGATTAGAAATTGACGATGTGTTGCGCAAGATGATGACATGGGAAAGTCGAAAATAGTACCGAGGTGCTGAATGACGGCAACTTTTCTCTACCCACCCACCCATCGACATTAGTAATGCAACTCATGCGAACGATCGAGCGGTCTCGGGGCAATTTAGCTTGCAGCCGCCTAAGCGGGCCTCTAATCTTTCGTATCGCGATAAGAAAAAAAGGTGATGATGCCTACGCCACCTGCATGGTCAGCCATCCCCAATTACACGTCTGCTCTTCCGCTTCCCCAGTGGCCTGATAATCATCCACCGGATTGATTGGCAATTGTCAGCGCCATGGACATCTCAAACGCCCAATCAGTCCCTCCAGAACCACCAATTGGCTCAGACCCCCATTCTGGCACACAAGAGGACAGTGAGGCACCCACCGCAGCGCCATCTCATGATGTCAGACTATGCGGAATCTGCGAAAAGAGCCCGCCCAAGTACAAATGTCCTCGGTGCTATCTACCTTAGTACGCCTCTCACGTTTCTGTCCCACTCACTCCCGTGGATGCGATGTTCTACGCAACATTTGCCATCATGCCTGCACGTACTGACAAAGATATTCAGTTGCTCTGTAGCTTGCAACAAGATTCATCGCGAAAATCACCCTCCCGATCCTACGCCAGCACCAAAGCCTTCCCCGCCTCCCACAGTCCCAGCTACGGAGACGATAGCTCTGGAGGAATCCAATGACGACTCTGGTACCCATCAATCAGATCATCGGTTTGGCACGCTCGAACGCTCTAAGGAATTACAATATCTCTTCAAGAAGTACCCTCGACTACCTAAACAATTACTCGACATCCATGCTGCAACTCTCCCGCCACCATCAGAGAAGTCTAGAATCCCCGCCTCGTTATTAAAGGACCTTCCGGAATCATCGAATAGCTGGGATCGTGATAAAGCAATGGCCAGTGGGAAAGAGGCTCTCCGCAAGGCGCGGGGAGCTAAGGGGGTGGATGGAGAGGCCCTGAGAGAATACTCTGAGCTGGTGCTACACCTCACGAAGGATAAGGTCAACAATCGGTGAGCAGTCTAGCTCAAGTAACCATAATTCTCTCCCAATGGGCCTTTCATCGGTTATTTTGGAAGGGCAAGTCTGTGGCGCTGCCAAAGGTTCAGACTCGATATTCAACGCCAACCGTAAACTTGTTTTTAACGGTTGCGGCTTCCCGGTATCAAAGCAGGTCACCAGCGCTGTGACGTCTAAAACGAGGGAACAAAGCGGCGATTCGTGACTTTGTCACGTCTTCCACTATCGGCTCTTTTTCCTCTGGAAGAACCGGTGGATAGTCTCTGTGTTTGTGCCCCCCTATATGACGTTTCAGTCGCCATCTGGATTCTGATTTCCGGAGCTTGACCTCATCGCTCTGGGTCCAGTCAACCCTATGCTCCGCGATTTCTGCTTCGGTCAGTCCCTCATGATGGGGACTCTCATGCCTTTCTACATGTGGGGCTGAAGCCACCTTCTCCATGGTCATGCCTGCATCGCCCTCGTCGTCGCTTTCCAGGCTCTTCGGCGAAGAATCCGTTTCAAAAAGAGTTTGTTGAACCGGATGGATTACATTTTCATTAATACCCACAGTTGGTAGCAGGGTTGAGGGATGTTGGAATTGATTGCGTTGATATTGCTTTTCTCTTTTTCGCTGTGCCTTTTTCAATGTTTTTGCTGCCTCGTAAGGGGCTATGGTGTTTGACTCGTCCTGCAATCCCGTATCTGCATTAACACCATCCATATGGTACTTCAAGGCCATCTTGGAGAGCCTGTGAACCAGACCCTTCTCGCCAGGGGGATCGATCGTGGTCGTTCTTGCAAACTGTAGCGCCGCTACTCGTGGAATGTGTCTATAAGTTGACGGGCATCCATCATCCCCATTTCGCACGCCGGGTGCGTGGTTGGTGCAGCTCGCGTCTAATCTTGCCCTTGTGCTATCTTGTGTTGGTTCGTCCTGGCACTGATCCGGAACAGATTTCGCCCCAAGGTGGGCGGGTAGGGATATCTTCTTTTCGGACTGTGGAAACTCATGTGCGAGGTCGTAATGTTTCTTCTCTACCCTTCGTTCCTTCGACCTTTGGGTTGTAGCTTTATGTTCGGTCCCTAGTCTTGCGATTCTCGTCTGCTCGGCCAATACCCTCTGTTCTGCCTGGATGATTGTCAACTTCCTCGACAACTCCTCTGGGTCAAAGGGCGAGGAGGGCGAGTGCCGATGCTTGTGAGGATGTCTCTTTTGGTGAACAGGGGCTGATGCGGCCCCGATGGCCTTGACCTCCGGCGCGAAGGTCATCACAACTATTTCAGATACCCAGAGCCGCTGGAATCGGCGAAAGGGTTCCCATTGATTCTTGTGGGTTGGGTCGGCCGGGGTGCGGTAACGGAGACGGTCTGGAAATGCTGGGTTGAGAAAGCGCTTTTTGGGCGCCTTGAGCTGTGTCTGATGTGGCAAAACAACGAGCCGAGGACGATATACGCTGGAGGAAGGGACTGTCCCGACACATTTAACAAATTGTCATGGACTACAGTGAGAGGTAGCTTGAGGGTCCGAGGTGCAACTCTACCGCCCAGCGGTTGGAGAGGGGTTTTGGTGCGGCAAGGATCATGATGCCACATTGAGATGGCCAGACGAGACACATGCTCCCTTGGTGGATTCAGACATGTCACATTGAGCACTGCTGTGTTCCATGGTGTTATATTGAATATATTTTCTCTAGCTGGGGAACTTTTTAAACCGGCCTCGTCCTTGCTTACCCAGCAAAGTGCAAACTGAAGCGCTCATTCTATGTCGTGTGGTGCCAAGGCCTGCCTGCCGCTGAGTAACTTTACTTACCATTATGCCGGCGACGTCACAGAGAGGATGTCTGGGGTCGCGCTCCATGAAACTGGGTGTGGGGTCACGGGATCCTGTCTTGCCACTCCAGAAGAGGAGGTCCAACCTGTTCATCAGGGCGGGATGGGTTGAGGTTGTAAATAAAATGGAGCAGGCTTAATGCGATCAGTATTCTCTCCCGGTATCTGGGTATTGGTCCAGTTTGCAGGAAAATGGGGACCTCTAGTCTTTTTGTCCCTTGCTTCTTTCTTTTCTTTTTTCCCCTTTGCCCTTCTTTTCTGATGTGCCGAAGGTTAGTGGTCCCATTGCCACTGCTACGCTCAGGGCAACTGATCTCAGGCAATGTCTTAGATCTCGCCTTGAGAATCAGTGAGGAAACAATGGACATTCATATATAGTGCCAACGCCGAATCTGACTGACAATAATTGGCGGCGTCGGGGTGGTTTTGCTAAATCCTCAGGCTGCCTATTGTTGTCTGTAGTGGTACGTATCATCATGCTCCTCCTACCTGAGCCAAGCAGTGTCGCACACTTGGACCTTGTTTTGTCTCGATAATCGATCAGAACGGAGGTCCAAGCGTGCCGTATAGTATCCGGGCGTCTCCTAGCCCCTCACTCAATGCCTAGCTGCGTCTACTACCAGGAAAATTGGGTCAAGACTACGGGCGATCACGTCGGCTCGAGCGAGCGCACGGGATGGTGGTGTGCTGCCAATGTGCATCATTCGACGGCAAAGGCGGGCGATTGCGATCGCAAAGGGTGGATGCGCCTGTGACCGGGCAGATGCGTTAAGGGGTTTCGGTTGGCCGACACAGAGTTTGAGACGGCGAACCACCGTCGATTGAGAGGGCTTGGTGGACAATAAGCAGTCCGAATGAATCCTGTCCCAGGGTCCGGTTGGGCAGTTGGTTAATTTACCGCTCCACCCTCGTCCACCTAAAACGACTTCCTCACCAACGTGCCTGTTTGACCGGGGACGACAGCGATTATTGGGTGCTGGGGAGCGGTACCACCAGCACGAGCACATGTACTCAGTTAGGTAGATGCCAGCCGCACGCACGTCGTCCCCCTCGGGCCAGCTGAGGTCCACGACTTTATTAACCTGTCCGCCGGGTGCTCTCGACCTGGCTTCCTGCCGCTCTCCTCCTCACCATCTGCACTTCCGCCTGCCTGGCCCTCCTTCTCCTGCTCTCCCCTCTGCTTCTAGATACTCAATCGAAGCCGTCCTCCCTAGCCCCCACCCCCTCCTGGTGGTCTTGTGTACAATTACAAGCTACTAGTCGGCGCGCCACTATCGATTAATTACCAGCCCAGCAACCCTCCTGGGTCCCGTCGCCGCGGCGCCGGAAGGGCACAGCTGGTCCCCCGGCCTGACCTTGCAAAAGACCTTGCCATCCTGCCCTCAGAACCTGCAGCTTGGAATTATCCCTTGTCGTGCCATTCCTCCTTCCAGCGAAGTGCAGCGAGCTACCCGTCCACGGCCGCCTTCAACGTGTTTCGCCTGTCCTGTTTTGGCCCGGCTCTGTGATACCTATCTATGTAAGTCGCCGACGAACAAATCATCCCCGTCTTCAAGAATGGATGCAGTGGGCCGGCGAGCAGGCAGGCCACGAATTGACTGGCTGGGCCTGGCTGTCGTTCGTTCCTAGCTCCTTGGCCTAAGGTGGTAGTACTGCGTCCCAAAATGCCAGCCAGAGTTGCATGTCTCCATCTGCGTGGGCATGCGGGTGGCATGGCATGTTCCTAAAACCAACGCCTGGTGCATACCCTCCCTGACAGCCTGCCCTCGTTATCGTTCTGGCTAAAGGGGTTTGTCAATTATCCCTCTGCTACCTAGCTGGCTGCGCCGTCCCAGTCCTGTCCCAATCCCCGTCTAGATCCATCACCTCCTTCTGTCCTGCCTTCGCCTGCCCGGCTGCATGCTTCTGGTCTGCCTCATACCTTCCATGTGATTCCCTTCATTTGGCTAGTCGCCAGGCTGTGACAATGCCCTCTCCTCGTGGTAGTTCGCGACATGCTCACCAAGTCTCGAGCAGCTATTCGCGCCCTGTCGACCGTGGCCAGACTCCGACGCCGACCCAAGAGTCTCGGCGGCATCATCCAGCTCCTTCGAAACCCAGCCAACCTTCCGGCTCCCAAGGCTACCATCTCCGCAAATCGTCGACCGCAGATCTCTCGTCCCTAGCCTCCGGAAACCGAGATTCCTTTGCCTCCATCCTCGACGATCCCTTCTTCAACAACTACAAGTCAATTGTCTATCCAGAAGACGCCGCCGATTCCTCCGGCCAGCCCGCTGCTGCGAAACCCGCCGCCGGATGCGATGAGAAGGCGAACCAGCCGCTTTGGCCCCCTCCTGCTCGCCGCGAGTCGTTAAGTGCTGGCCCCTCCCGCTACCAGGTATGTCCATGCTCACCACCATGCCCCACCCCATGAACCAGCTCAGCGCCAGCGGGGCAGGGGTCAATCCAATGGGCTGAAATTGGCTGCGCTATCGCCATTACCCATTGTTGTTGTCCCCATCCTTCCCTGAGATTCGTTGTCGTGGGCATGGAATTGACTGTCATCTCGTTCCAGCAACTCGACCCCCCGCCCTCCGCCATGGAGACCTTCAACATCGCCGTCATCGGCTCCGAAGGCGTCGGCAAGTCCTCCTTCGTCCAACGGGTCCTCAACCTCCCGCGACCACCCATCACCAACGCCTCGACCGTCCGCATGCCAATTGACAATGTGATGCACATGGTCATGCTGCTCGAGCTCGATCTCGAGCACTTTGCACTCGACCCCGAGCTCCCAATCCAATGGCCGAAACAGATCAATGGGCACATAATGCCGCGAGTCGACGCCGCTTTAATTCTATACGATGTAATGAACCGGGCATCTGTGGCTGAGCTGCCTCAAACAATGGGTACGTCATAGTCAACGACAGCAACAGGGAAAAGCTCATTCTAACCCCAGATTTCCAAAGCTGCTTTGACCAACTCGGGCCTGCCTGCGATTCTTGTTGCCACCAAGTGCGAAAACCCCAAGGACGAGTGGGAGGTAATCCCCGACGTGATCACGAGCAGCAAGTTTTACCAGTCCTGCCTTGCATCATACAAGCTCTCCAGCGAGAATCCCGAAATCGCCCGCACCTGCCTGCAGGCAATCCTCAAAGCCGCCATTATTCACCGAAGAGGTAAGAGCTGTTTAGGTTAGGTTGGGTTGCCACGGACGTTGGTGGGCTCACACTAAATATAGAAGAAAACGGCGAGACAGTATCCCGAAGGCGCGCCCAATCGAACCTCGAAATGCCCGATACGTCATCTACGCGCTCCACCAGTGAACAAAACAAGCACAGTCGAGCCAGCTCCGACCTTTCTTTACTGCGTGGCTTCGCCAACCTTCCGATCAACGAACGCGGCCAAACCTCAAAAAGCGCCCCCCGGCTCGGCAAGCCTGGAGAATCCGACATCCAAACACAGCAGTCGTACAACAGCATGCTACGGACCTCTTCTGGCATCCGCCTGGACAGACCAGGCACTGAGTCTTCACAGGATATTGACGAATCCGATGCCGAGTCACGGAGATATTCAGATGATGTTCCTATCCTACAAAGAAACGATGAAACCAGTGGCGGCACGGCGAAGATCGTCGGAGCTTCCTTCGACGAGCTAGTTGACCGACTCCTGGCCCCCCGAATTTCGAAAAACGACAGTAACTTCTCAGATATCTTCCTCTGCCTCTACCGCAAGTTTGCCGCGCCCGGCGAGCTTTTCTCAGCCATTCTCACTCGACTTGACGACGTCCGTGATGACAAAACATCGCACTACCTGACAAAGACTGCTACCCAATTACGGATGATCGAAGTCGTAGCAAGATGGGTATCACTGTACCCTGGCGATTTTGCCCGACCAACCACCCGCCGAAACCTGGAGGAGTTTATCAAGCATCTTTCGACGGAACCCATCTTCTCAATCTCAGCACAGCAGATTCGTCGCAACCTGCACTTCAACGTGACTGAGGATGACGACACTGGATGGGCAAACACGGATGAAGACGGAGACAAGGCTGCCAGTGATCTGTTAAAGAAGGACTCCGACAAGCTGGGTCAAAGCTTGAGTGGGTTGGGGATTGAGGATGAAGAAGGGGACGACATGCCATCTCGAAGCTCTGACAACTCATTCGGTGACAGAGGCAGTGTAGGGAGCCAGTTCCAATTCCATTGGTACGACGAGTATGAAAGAGAAGCATCATCGCTTGAGCCCTCGAGCCACTTACCGATGAACAAATTCCGCTACCACATCTTCATGGATATTCCGGACGAGGAGATAGCTGACGAGCTTACCCGTATTGATTGGGTAATGTTCTCATCGATTCGAGTTCGAGACTTTGTTCGCCATGTCAGCTTATCCACGGCAGAGAAGGGCAAATGCCGGAGCCTCCAGAACGTGAACCGCATGATCGCACACTTCAACCATGTTGCCCAATGGGTCGCCAACCTGATTCTACTAAGGGACAAGGCCAAACACCGGGCACAGATGATGGAGAAGTTCATGAACATTGCCCTCAAGCTTCGACAAATGAACAATTACAACGGACTCGCCGCAGTTCTCGCGGGCATCAACGGAACATCGATTCATCGCCTAGCCCAGACCAGAGCTTTGGTCCCCCCGGAGGTCCAAAAACGTTTCGCCCGACTCGTAATTCTAATGGGCACACAAAAGAGTCATTTCGCCTACCGACTTGCTTGGGAGAATTCGCCACTTCCCCGAATCCCCTTCATTCCTTTACATCGCCGTGATCTCGTGTCGGCCGAGGAGGGAAGCAAGACCTTTGTTGGCCCGAAAGGCGACCGTATCAACTGGAAGAAGTTTGAGGTTCTTGGAGAGGTCCTCCTCCCCATTATGAAGAGTCAAGGCACCCCCTACCCTGGCTTGTCAAAGCATGACAACATCAAGGACATGATCTTAGGATGCCGTATGCCCACAGATGATGAGGTAAGTTTATTCTATCCTAATACGCCGATATCTGATCGCGACGCGTTTAGCTAACAATTCTCCCTTTGTAGGAAATATACCAGCGGAGCATACAGGTTGAGACCGGCGTGGGAGGACCTGCGGAGCAAACTAGAAAGAAATCATTCCCATGGTTTAAGGTATGAAGTAGTGAACAAGAACCACTGGCTGGATTCTGCTACAAAGACAACGAAATCGGTGCGATTTTAGAATATTCCTGTGTGTGCATTTTGATTAGCGGCAGCATGGTACGGGCAATACGGTTTTTCTCGTTGACATTCAAGGGGGGCCAAACCCAGGTTGCTTTGATTCCAATCGAGTATTTTGAGCGTCGTCGCTTTGCTGCACAAGCAGCCATCTTCTCCTAGCTTCAATGTCCTCACTAATGTGAGAGGTTTATGGAGTTAAAGCCTTGTTTTGTCTTTTTCCCTTTCATGTTTGCGCCTGGTGTTACCCGCGTTTGGATGTTAGATGGGCGGAATCGGGTATCTAGGTAGGGCTATTGGTTTGGTTACCTTAGGTAGTGTGAGTAGAAGACAATTCTATGTGCACCTATTCCAGGTGAATGGAACACTTTTGAACCTTACGCAGAAATTTGTATGCGGTGCCGGGCTTTGCAGTTCGTCCAGTGCAAGCACGAGTCGCAACTCGTTCTCTCCTTCCTTAGTAGTGACAAGACCTCCCAATACCTCAGGCGCCTGCAAGTCCCACCGTCCCCTATCCCCTAGTACCTTCCGGTTCTCGTTGAATTTGAGGTACATGCCCGTCCAAATGTTAATCTACTAATATTTTGCATTTTCTTTGCTCTAGATACGACATGCCGGCTTCCCTCTTATGCCGGAAACCACGATTGAGAATCCGAGGCTCCGCCTCAAGAGCAAATCTAACCGATCGCAATTAGAAATCAGATCCTCTCTCCGGCTCGTCCTACCAAGAGAACACCAGGCCATAGAGTCCAGCGAGGAGCTCCTGCGACTGGTTTCGTCAGGGGAGTTGTGGATTGCCCGGGTGGGATCGTGCAATTTGACAGTGGAAGTCACCACCCTTGGGGATGCTCTGTCCAGAGCTGAAACTACTGTGGTAGAAGATTGGATTTCCGACCACCAGGTGGCTCTTCCCAATAATTTTGAATACCTTTAACCTTCATATTCTAACCATGACTACAGCTCTGGAATCAACTTGGCATTCGATTGATATCTTTGGGCGACGAGACGGCTCTTCCTGCCAACGAAATCGAACTATCCATTCAGCATCCTGACTTGACTTCGGCTCTTGTGGCATCAACAAAGACTTCAGTTGTCGAATTCATCTCTGCAAGATGTGCGATTGACCTATCAGTAACCAGGACATCCAGTACAGCTCATAAAAGGCCGCGCCTACCTGTTCAGAAACCACCGGACGAAGCCACATCAAACAATCACCAAGGTATACCTCAAGATGTCGATATAGACGACCAGATGGCGGTATCCGAGTTTGTGACCAATCTTCATGAACACGAGGAGCGGGATCGTCAGCCAAACAGGTCGAAAAGAAAACGGATCTCTGAAACCCAACATCCCATTGAAAACATTGGGCTCCACAAGAATGCCATTGATACTGCGATACGTATCATTCTGCTCGGTTCAAATAACACTGGCAACAGCTATAGGCCATTGGAACAAGTATCAGCCCCTGGATTGTCCCAGCTAGCACCTGGAGTGTTCGACATTCCATATACAGAGGTAATCCATCCCCCTTAACAAAGTGCTCTCAAGACTAACCAAATCCCTTCAGACCGTCTCTCAGAGGGCAAATCTGTGTACCACTATCAGTTCTTCACTGGCGAGAATGGTAGAGGCTGAGTCGCCTAGTCTAAGGCGTAAAATCAATCATCTCAAGACATCAGCAACTTCAGGAGCAATCGACGTCCCGCCAGAACTAGACATGGTTCAGGGCATAGAGAGAAGTATCTGGGAAATCATTTTAAAGTCTTCCAAATCTCCCTCGAGAGGGAAGAGAAAAGCGAATGGTCCATCTGACCTGCCCAAACGGCCACGGCATGGCCTTGTTGAACAACAGTCGAACTCGGTAGATGATGCGTCAGCTTCCGCAATCGGACGCTCTTCAGCCCTAGTCATGGAGATATATGACGATATAACAACCACCGAGTCAAATGAAAGGATAGTTCCAGATACGGCGGATACTTCTATGTCCAATCGAGCCTCAAGTTCTGGCTTGGCGTCGGAGGGTACTCATATACATGAATATTTTAGCAGCTTGTCTCAAACTCTGTGGTACGAGCCGGCATTGCCTTCTGATTCCCAACCACTACAAGTCTTTGGAAATGAATCATCTCCTTGAAAACCGTATCATTGCAATGGCCTGCCATCTCAGCTAATTGAATTGATCTCAGGTTGGTTTAGAAGTACTGAGAAAGAATTGTGATAATGTAGTGTAATTTGACAATCAGAGGGGAATCTAGATAAACCGACCAATTAGGCCTAAATAGAAAGATATAAAGACAAGCAAATTCAAAATTCTGAATCATATCCCTCGTCTAAGTCGGACGAGCATCAATTATAGAACGTTGATGGTGTGGTATTGTTCAAGACCCACAATACAATGCGTGACTAAGTCCCATCAGCCAATCAGCTACTCGCTCAGCTCTGCACCGCAGCCAAAGCCAATGTCTAAAAAAATCTCCAGTCGCAGCTGTTCAAAGACGTCGGCATCGCACGATATTTCCCAACGTCCAAGCTAGGAGGTTGCAGCTTGCAATACACACGGGCCATGAGCGTAGCACGGCCGACCCGAAGCCTGCTAGGCAAGTACATCTCCTCCGCCGCCGCTCAATCGCGAAGCCCGGCCTCGACCGTCGTCTGCCGCCAATTCCACAGTTCGGCCCCATATCAGAAGAAGCGGCGCTCCCAGTTCCGCAATGTCAAAGCCGAGGAGCTGGGGCTCCTCAAGCCCGACGCAATGGAGAAGTACCAGAAGGAGCACCTGCCCGACTACACCCCGGAGGAATTGGAGCTGCTGAGGCAGAAGTACACGCCCGAGCAGATGGAGGCCCTGGAAGCTGCTGAGCAGGCCGTCAACCCCGGAGACATCGCCATTCAAGGCCGTCTGCGCGACGACCTGTTCCGCCCGAAATACATTGAAGATTTCACCGTCATGGACCCTCGATACGACCTCAAGTCGGACCTCAAGGGCACACTCAGGGAGCACAAGTGGGACGACAACGACGAGAGGTTCGAGGAAGAATTCCTGGACAAGTTCAGCAAAGTGATGGAGAAGGGGACCACCAACCAGCTCACTCGCGCCATGATTCGTGCTCTCCGCCGGGTGAAGACAAGCCAGGGCCAGGACTTGATCGACCTTACCGAGGCCGAGCTGAGCGACATGGAGAAGGACCCCTCGCTGCTGGAGAAGTACTTAGTCAAACCCGATGAGCGCGAGCCCAAGTACAAGGAAAAGGAGACCGAGTCCGACGACTTCATAACCAGAGCCCAGGCTCTGAAGCTCGACGAGATGGTGGAGACCGCTTGGAAGAAGGAGCTCGACCTGCTGTCCCACTCAAAACACACCGAGCTGAAGCCTAGCACCTTCGAGCTCGAGGAGGACGGTCCCACGGGTCCAATCCGCCTCCACACAGCGGAAGCCGTCGAGCTCGGCAAGGTCCCCGGTGTGGCCGGCCTCTACAAGACGTCGGCGGACGAGGACGACGGCAAGGACGACATGGGTCAGTACACCGAGCTCAAGCAGCTCACCGGGCTGACTCTGTCGGAACTCAAGTCCATCTACAACAAAACCCTCGTCATCAGACACGTACACAACCAGACCCGTCTGGGCAAGATCCGTAGCGTCTCCGCTATGGTGATCGCCGGTAACGGCAACGGACGCCTGGGACTCGGTGTCGGCAAGTCAACCCAGATGGATGTCGCCGTCAACACGGCGACCATGCTCGCAATCAGAAATATGAAGCCCCTACGACGGTACGAGAACCGGACGATCTACGGAAACATTACGTCCAAGGTCTCGGGAACCGTTGTCGAGCTGTCCGCTCGTCCTCCTGGTACGTTAAACCCCTCCCCTCCCCTCTTCCCCATCTCCTGTACCTCCCTAGAGCGAATACTAATCATAACAGGCTTCGGTCTCCGCGTCCCCTCGCGTCTCTTCGAGATGTGCCGTGCCGCTGGCCTGCACGATCTGGCCGTCCACATGCCCCGGTCCAAGAACCCCATGAACACGGTCAAGGCCACATACAATGCCCTAATGAACCAGCCCGACCCCGAGGAGATCGCCATCGGCCGAGGCAAGAAGCTCGTCGACGCCAGAAAGGTGTACTATGGCGGCGCTGTGCTATAGAGAGGAGGAAGGAGGGGAGCGTCAGGGACGTTGTTACGCACCGCTGTATATCAAGACATGCTTCTTATATGTAAAAGATAGTTTCCTGTTGCGCATGAGATCCTCGGATTCCGCGAAACGTGTAATATCAACAATGAAAGAAACCACCAATAAAGAAACAAAACACACAAAGCAAGAATATGTCCATTATGAAAGCAAAATCCATTTGCATGCCTTGGGTCTTAGTTAAAGATCATGTCATCGTAAACAGTCTCCCACACTCGCCCACATCCCACGAAATCCATCCGCTCTCCCCCATTCGCCTTGCGTTTTACACAAAGAACCCCCTCCCATACCGAAAAATCAATACTGCCCAGCAGGCGCCCCATCACCCCAATCAATCTCCTGCTGCAAGACTATGCTGTACACGCTGGCCTTGAGCAGCGTGAAGGCCAGGCTGGTCTTGCGCTCCAGGTCCCGCAGGCCGTCGAGGATCTCGGCGCTGGGGTTCGAGGCGAGGTGCTCGAGCGTGGAGGCAAGCTGCAGTCAAAAAACCCAAGCGGAGAAAATGTCAGCTACTAATGGCCTTTCACAGAAGGGCGAATTGATACACGTATTTACAGGGGTGAGGTAGAGGCAAGGACTGACCTTCTTCATGTTCTCGGCCAGTCGCTCATACTCGTCGAGCACCTCCTGCTCGAGAGGCGTGAGCTCTGGGGGGGAGAGGAGATTTGGCGGACCCTGATCCATCGTGATCTGTGAAGCGCGGTCGCGTGAGGTGAATGGGGATGGATTTGTTAGTGGTGAGCCGCGAATGTTAGTGGTGGGTGTAACAAACAGCGATTTTATGGTGGGGCAAGCCGTCGCCTATTGTCCCTCGTTCTTACCGAGTCTGCACTGACAAAACATCTCCATATTCCTACCTACCTTAGTAGTAAAAGGACTGATTATCAAAACATCACATCTTCTAGATACTTGGTATTGTAGTTATTTGAAATGAAAAGTCATAGAATTATTACTCAAACTACCCAACACCATCCAAACAGCGCTAAAAGCATAAACCATACATCAATCATCTACCATATACACATGTACGCCTTGACACAACAAGATATACTAAGAAAACACCCCATTCCCGTAACTAAACAGCAAACCATGTGTTCCGGTTATTTGCTTCTTGGGCATCTTCAGCCCTGACTCCCCTATACTACCATCTCGCTCTCTTCAGCGTTGGCCCCCGTACTTTCTGTCCATTCGTTCGCCGTGTCGTCGTACTCAGTATGGCCAGCCTCCGGGTCGGCATGCTGTCCTCGACTACTGCGACAGAGTGTGTCTGTTTCACTCTGATCGTCGCCCAAGATGTCCTCTCCATTCTCGTCCACCCTTTCATCAATGGCAGCAGGGGACTCATTTTCATCAACTTCCTCAACCGTCTCCCTAACACTCATGTTTTCCTTGTCCGTGTCGCCAATGCCTATATCACCACCCCAGCTTCGTTTCCGATATGCTTTACTACTGGCTGGAGTCCTGACACTCTGGCTTCTCTTCACACCACCAGAGGCTACATTGTTGGTGATCTGGCCAAGTGAAGCGATTCTTCTCGCAACACCACCTTGCCCAGGAGGAGCCAGGTTACGCTTGCCAGAGAGAGCCATGTTCATCACAGGTCTGGGTGAAGCCTTTGGCGTCGTCGAGTCTTCAGCAACAACAGCGGTCTTCTTAACCCGCTTGCGGTTCATAGAGTCGCCACCGCTCTTGGTAGCTTTAGACATGATCAGAACACGAGAGTGGTCCATCACGCCCTCGAGAATGCGGCGCTCCAACTTCTCGGCCCGCGACTCCATCTCAGAGAGATCTTCCTTGCGAAGGCGCATTGCCGTCTCCAATGAGGAGACATCTCCGGTGAGGCGGGTTTTCTGGCGAATCAAACTCTCCTGTTCAGTTCTCAAGCTCATGATGCTGCCGCGGAGTCGCTCCTCTTCATCTCTGAGGCTTGCGATGGCTGCATCCAGGTGATCCTTCTCTGCCCGCCTTCGCGCAACCGAGGTTATCAAGTCCTGAAGAGTCTTCTCCTTTTCTTCGTTATCATCAGCGATGCGTTGAGTTTGTGATGACAAGAAGTTGGAGATATCCGCAGCTGTTTTGACAACGGATTGATGCACCTTATCCAAAGTCTGCAGCTGAACCAAGGCCTGCTCAGTTGAGTTGCTGTAATCGACGATCTTGTCGAGTTTCTCATGCACGACCTTGTCATCGTACTTCTCCTCGGAAAGCTTGTCGAGCTTCTCGCGGACCTCGGTGTCGTCGTACCTCATCAACACCAATGTATCAAGCTTTTCGTGAATCTCAGTATCATCGTACTTAGCATCCGCCAGCTTGTCAAGCTTCTCACGGACTTCACTGTCGTCATACTTGAGCTGTTGTAACTCTTCCAGCTTTTCGCGGAGTCCAGTGTCGTCATATTTGAGAGCTTCGAGCATCTCTCGGAGCCCAGCATCATCATACTTGCTTTCTTCAAGTTTCTCTCGAAGTCCAGTATCATCATACTTCAACTCCTCAAGCTTCTCTCGAAGACCAGTGTCGTTGTACTTGATCTCTTCAAGCTTCTCCTTGAGTCCAGTATCATCGTACTTGAGTTCTTCAAGCTTCTCCTTGAGTCCAGTATCGTCATATTTGATTTCTTCAAGTTTCTCTCGAAGTCCACTGTCATCATACTTCAACTCTTCGAGCTTCTCTCGGAGGCCAGTATCATCGTACTTGATCTCATCAATCTTCTCCTTGAGTCCAGTATCGTCGAACTTGAGTTCTTCGAGCCTCTCTCGAAGTCCACTATTCAACTCTTCTAGCTTCTGTCGAAGTTCTGTATCGTCGTACTTGAGTTCCGAGAGTTTTTCAATCATATGACGAAGGCCGCTATCATCATACTTCGACTCAACCAGGGTGTCAAGCTTCAGTTGGATTTGGGTATCATCATACTTTTCAGGGGGTGGCAAAAGCAACATGTCTGACTTGGCTTCGATGATCTTGTCTTCAATACCGGTTGTGGATACCTTGGAGTGCTCAAAGTGCTGGTGGACCAACTCAAGAAGAGATTGGATAGCTTCCATGACCTTTGGCTGAGTCTCCTTGAAGTCGCTCTGTATGCCTTCGACTACTGTTACAGCTTGCTGAAGTTGGTCTCGAGTCTGCTGGTGCTCAGACTTATCCTCTGTATGGTTCTCTTCATTTCGGGTAACGAGCTCCTCGACTTTACCGAAAACGGTCTGAGACGCCTCTTCCATCTTGTCCACTGACTCAGTTACGGAAGCACCAAGGGTGTCAATCAAAAGCTTGAGCTCTTCAGCGACTGCCTTAGTATCCACGACTGCAGCTTCGGTAACGATGTCTCGAGCTTCGGCGGTTTTGTTTCTTTCGTCCAGCACGGTTTGAAATTCATCGTACTTGGCGATCAACTCTCCCATCTTCTCGTCTATCTTGACACCAAGACTATCTCGGGCTTCTTGGAGCTTCTCGTCAGACTCCAGCTTGGCTCCAGCAAAGATGGTTTTCGAGTCCTCAAATTCAGCCTTCATAGTATCGAACATCTCTTTCAGGTCGGTGGGGACGTTCTCAGACTTGTCGACCTTCTCGCCCATTCCCTCAAGAAGCTTGCCGAGGGCCTCGACACCGGTAGCTTCATCGTCGAGCTTTGCCCTGAGAACCTCCTGGAATTCCTCGAGGAAGACTTTGACTTCGGCAACTTTCTCGCTTACGCCATTGATCTCCTCTTGCCGCTTTTCCAGAGCTTCCTTCGTGGAATCAGTGTGGGTATCAAGTTTCTCCTTAGCTTCGCTAAGCATGATCTCAAGATTCGTCACATCTTCTTTCTTCGAAATATCGGCCAGGTCCTCCTTCTTCACGAGGTCGACAAGATGCTCTGTCCTCGCGAGATCGGCAAGATGCTCCGTCTTCGCGAGATCGACAAGATGCTCTGTCTTGGCGAGATCGGCAAGATCTTCTTTCTTCGCAAGGTCTGCAAGATCTTCCTTCTTAGTCAGTTCAGAAAGATCTTCTTTTTTGGTGATGTCCGCGAGATCCTCCTTCTTGGCAAACTCAGCAAGATCCTCCTTTTTAGCGAAGTCAACAAAATCCTCCTTCTTCGGGAGTTCTCCGTCAAGAATATTCTTCATCTCAAGGACAACAGTCTCGACAGCCTCAATGTCGGTCTTTGTCACCTTCTCGGGATCTTCCTTTTGATCTTCCTCGGCCTTGATGATCTTCTCTCTCAGTTCCTCAAAGCCAAGCCTGACCTCAGTAACTAGAGTTTCCATGTTGGTGAGATCTTCTTTGCGAGGGATAGCGTCCATATCAGCGCCCATGAGTCGCATGCTTTCACGAGTTTCCAGGGTCAAGGTCTCGATGGCATCCAAGTGCTCCTTCCGAACGGCCTGGTCACCATCAATCAAGTCATCTAAACGAGCCTTGGTATTGCGCAAGATGGTTTCGATGGCTTCAACGTCCTCCTTGGAAGCGATATCACCACTTGGTGGTACGACAGGAACCTCGGCATCGACAGATCGGGGCACCGATGCCTCAGCGGCAGCCGCAGATGCGGGAGCAGGCGCAGGTACAGACACAGGTACAGGTACAGGTATCTCGCGAGATCCAAGCTCTTCCACTTGCCTCTGCATATTTCCAAGCATGTCTTCAAGGCGGGAGAAGTCCTCCTTGTGATCACTTGCGGGCTCGGGTTCCATGGCTTCAACCTTGATTCGGAGTTCGTTAATAAGAACCTCAAGGTTCCTGATATCGTCCTGCTTAACCATGTCTATAGGGACGATGGCTTGCTCATCGATATCAGTGGGTCTTCCCACGGCTGCAACCGCCCTGTCGTTGCTGCTCTCTCGAATAGTATCGATCTCGGACCTGACAGAGTCCAGTCCCGACTTGAGTGCTTCCAAAATTTCGTCGTTGGCGGTCAAGTCCGCAGGTTTGTTGCTCATCTTGTCAATACCGGCGCGGATGTCATTCAATCCTTCATTGAGGGCATCGATAATCTCGGTCGTTTCATTTCGGGGGCGTAAAATCTCTTGTCGGATACTACCAACGGCTGTATGCAGAGCCTCAAGAACCTCCTTATTATTTCCCTGCTGTGGTGTAGCAGGGACCATAGATGAGTTTACGATCTCACGAAGTCCCTCAAGCTCTGTTTGCAGCTGTTCCCGAGACGACTCAGATGATCGGGTCATGAAGGTAGAGAGTTCCTCCCTGAAGGAGTCCATGGATCTCATCAGCTCCTGGTTGAATTCATCCTGACCTGGTAGCTCCCGAGGAGCATCCTGCGCGGACTGCGATACAAGGACTGCGATGTCCTCCTTGAACGTGTCCATAGATCTAAGCAGTTCCTGTTTTAGGTCGTCGTCTTGGTCCGTTACTCGGCTTGATGCTTCCATGGATTGAGACACGAGAACGGCAATGTCCTCCTTGAACGTCTCCATAGAGTTGAGAATTTCATGCTTAAGATCATCGTGATCATCATGGCCTGCCACACGATCGACGTAACTCTCAATGGCGATTCTCAAGTTCTCAAGGCCGTCTTTGGTTGCGTCAAGAACCTGCTCTGTATCTCGACCATTGGCAGCAACGTTGTCCTTGGCTTCTTGGGAAACAGCCTTGAACTCCAGCTTGATGTATCCGATCATGTCTTCGAGCCTCGAAAGAAGCTCATTGTTGTTGGAAAGGGGAACCACGGCCCCAGCCTTAGGCAGATC